CAAAAGTTGGAAGGAATAGAAAATACTACAGCCTTTTATAAGGGTGATCAAAATATTTTAAAATTTCTGCTTTAATGCAATAGGAAACTAATATTCAATCTATTAATCCTGCCAGCTTTATTTTCAAAATGTGTCCAGATTCTCACTGCTTTTCTCCTGTAGCTCCTACTGTACAATCACTTTTCTTGCCCTTGTTATCCATATTTAAATATATGTCTCCCATGACTCGCTACATTGATTTCAGAACCCAATTTTTTTCATAGATCATAACCTGCAGTTTAAAAACATCACTGCAAATTACACAGGATAATATGAAAGATTCACAATGAACTAGTATTAATGCTATCAGTGCACATTTAAAAAAAAAAAAAGAAACAAAAACTAATGAACCCTCCACAGAATAATACTTATTTAAAACCATCTATTACTTTACATCCACATATGATCTGAAATAGTTACACTATGAATATTAAATGTGAATTTTTGATATCAATGTCCTATAAAATGAAAGAATGTAGAACTAAAATGTGTTCACAAAAAGAAACTAAAGGGATTACAATATTAAAGCAGAAAATTATTATTTTAAAATTGAAGACACCTTAACATAAATGTTATTACATATCTCCCCAGGGAGAATTATAATTCTTAAACAGTCTGTTAAATTTATTGGCTTAATTTGATGCCAAAAGTGAGTAAAATGATGGGAATCTTTTAATGATATGATGATTCTCCCTTTTAGCCAGGATGAAAATAGATATTTTTCTTGTTATCTGCATACAAACTGTTCCTATGTTACATCAATTCTTTCTCTGGAATATTTAGCATATCTTTTTTTTTGCACTACATATTTATCTGCTACCCTAAGATAAATTTATCACCACACGCTTGGACTATTAAAATAACTTCCTAAGAGATTTAATGTCATCCTGTCTCCCCTGATCCAAATTAACTTTCATATCACTACAGGTTTACCTTCCTAAAATACTGTTTGATTAGTTCACGACCCAAACTGTTTTTCCTGCTATTCCAAGCCTTCCCAATTTACCTTTTTAGCTTTGTCCATCATTAGCATTTATGATGATCAGTTTTATGTGTCACCTTAGCTAAGTTATAGTACCCAGTAATTCAATCAAAATCTAATCTAGGTGTTGCTGTGAAATTATTTTGTAGATGTGATTGACATCTATAATCAGTTCCCTTTACGTAAAGGAGATTATCCTGGATAATCTGGGTGAGCATAATCCAATCACCTGAAAGGCCATAAAAACAAAACTAAGACAAAATTGCTCTTTCTCTGAAGAAGAAGAAATTCCACCTGTGGACTTCGAGGTCAGCTCCTGCTCCCAAATTTCCAGCCTGCCCTTCCTGATGGTCTGCCATATGGATTTCAGACTTGCTAGCCAGCCCTCCATAATCATGTAACCCAATTCCCTGAAATAAATCAATAGGTGTGTGTGTGTGTGTGTGTGTGTGTGTGTGTGTACATCCTACTAGTTCTATTTCTCACATGGATCTCTGATTGACAATGTACTTTACCGTCAATAGTACTTTATGCTCTAGCCCAGCTCTTGCTATACAGTTTGTGCCCTTTGCATTACTAACCCTGTGCTTATGTTCCCCCAGACTGCTCAGCTTGAAATGATCATTCTGACCTTGTTTTGACCCTTTGAAATCCTATCTCACTTCCACTCACAAAACATTAGTGACTCACAATTCTCGGAATCTCTACATATTTCTGTGTCATTTGAATGGCATAGAATATAATGTGCTTTTTATGTTAGTTACTTTTGTATAATATTTCCTTACAACAATAAGCTCTATAAGAATATAAGCCATGTGTCATCTAGTTTCACCAACATTCAGTGAAGCTTCAGCAACAGTGCCTTATGTGAGGGTACTTCAAAAAGTTCATGAAAAAAATTGTATTATCTTTTAATTCTATTTTTCCATGAATTTTCTGAAGTACCCTTGTACATAACAGCCACTTAGTGAATGAATGAATAACCAAGTGTAACTACATGAATAAAAAGAAGCAGAACATGAAGTCAGATAGACCTCAGTTTTTCAGTCTGGGTCTATTTTGCTAGCTTTGTAACAAAAGGCAAATTACATAATCGTTCAGCATTAGTTTTCTCATATGTAAAGTGGTGATAACATTGACATTCACTGTCCTGGATCATTGTAAATACTAAATGGGATAATGTAAAAATACACTAGCATAGTACCAGGCATATATTAGGGCTCAGTGAAATGTACTATTTTGTAATTATGTTAGAAATGTTATTATGCATAATTCATTAAATATATTGCCTTAGCCCATTTCATGCTGCTATAACAGAATACCTAAGATTGCATAATTAATAACGAACAAAATTTATCGGGTTTACAGTTCTGGAGGGAGGAAAGTCCAAGATCAAGGAGCTGCATCCAGTGAGGGCATTCTTGCTATGTCATCCCATGGTAGAAGGCAGAAAGGCAAGAGAGCATATGTGCAAGAGAGAGCAAGAGAGTGCAAGAGGGGTCCAGACTTGCTTTTATAACAAAGTCACTCTCACAATAACTAACTCACTCCTGTGATGACAATATTAATCCACTCATGAAGGCACATCCATCATGACCTAATCACCTCTTATTAGTCCCCACCTCTGAACACTGTGGCATTGGGGATTAAGTTTCTAACACATGAACTTTGGGGGACATATTCAAATCATACCATATATACATATATAAATATAAACAACGTGTGTGTGTGTGTGTGTGTGTGTGTGTGTGTGTGTGTATAAAACATCTACTATGACACAGGAACTTTGGTAAGTCCTGTGAAAAGTAAAAAGATAAATTTAGGATTTTTTACATTTACCGAGTAGTTTTTTTATTCCCAATACTGTTCTAACACTTCATCTAACACCTTTATGTCTATAACAACTCTAGTGAGAAACTACTATTATTATCATTTTATTTATATATGAGAAACCATAGACACAGAAAGGTTAAGTAATTTCCCCAAAGATATATAGGTAATAAGTGTTGGAGTCAAGATATAAACCAAGGCAATCTAGTTCTTCAGTCTGTATTCTTTTCTGTTGTGCTGAGCTACTTCCTGTGGACATTGATGTGGTTTTCAAGTGGTATGTACTTTAAGAAGAGATATAAAACATCTTCAAAAATAACTCTAGTAAAAGGTCAGGCTAAAAAGTGACACAAAGAAGTTAATTCAGAAAAAAAAAATAGTATTCTTTGAATTGTGTCAATGTTACTTAATACATATATGATATACTTTACCACTAATGATATCATATGAGAAAGTGACAAAATCAACCCACCCTCCCATATTTTACTGACCCCAGTCTGGCAAGATGTTTCTCTGCCTTCTACTCCTGTAGGATGCCCTACTATTGTTACACACATGTGAATTAGCACAGGCATCTTTTCCATGTTGGCAAGCAGATCTCCACTGTCACATTAACCCACAAAATTAAATATAAAGGGAGTTCTGATTATAATACAATCTTTTAATACTTTATAAACCACTTTTTCAAAATGAGACTTTTGAATCACATAAAAATAATTTTTGATGGTTTCAACTGGAGGATAAAATTCTATTATGATTGACAGTATTATCAAAAACTGAACATGCACTTTAAAATAATAGTAGCTTTCTAGATTAAAAAATTTTTTCTGTATAGATGTTGCATAGTTTATTAATAGCTAATAGGAGGAATATCTGTGAAGATGATAGATGATATTAACTTAATTTTCTCATTCAGTTAACTAAACTTTTCATGCTAAATCATGGCAATCAATGTTCATGTTAACTGTCGGAAAATTCATGAGCATGGTGATTTCAAGTATATTAGTTTTATATAGAAAATATTTTACAGCATTTTCCTTGCTCCAAAGTCAGCAATAAAAAAATATAGTTGCTGCATTCCACAAATCTCACTGCTGAGCAACTGTTCTGGAAGAGCTTCTTCTAGATGGCCTTTTAAGTGTTTCTTCCTGCTGATTCAGACTTAGACCAGCACTCTAGAAGTTCTCCATTAAACGCCATTGACTTTCTGCTCAATAAACATTTTTTATTTTTCCTGAAATAATACCCATGGCTAATCTCATTATATCCCAGCATATAGTTCACTGATCCATAAATACTATTTCTCTTATAAAAATATTATAATTTTCTGTTTTCACCCATGATGTCTTCAAAGTTTAGTTGCTTAAGTTTGACCCTCTCTCATATTCCCAATCCAAAGCCTTTAATTCACTTCTGTCTATTCCAAATTTTGACTCAGATTTCTCTAAAACCTATTTCATGTTTGGTTCTCACTGACTACAAAATAACACCTTTCTCTAAAATCCCTTTGGTAAATTACATTTATTTGTTCGTTCAGTTTTCCAACAACAACAACAACAACAGCAACAACAACAACAACAACAACAAATCAGATCTTTAAAGACATGGAGTATAGATGCATGTTTCTACTTCTCAATAAAAATACAGCAACATGAACAAAAGAATCACACACAAAAGTGCACTTACTTTCTGCATTATCTTAATAAAGTTTTGTTTGTTTCTTTTTTCTTGGATGATAATTACACTCATTAAAATTACAGCTCATCTTTTCTCATTTCCAGGTTAGTTTTTATACTAAGTCTGTGTAACGCATCATTATTTTTAAAGAAAGCTAATTTGTTATTTGTTTGATTTGCTACAGGCCATGATATTGCAAACAATTTTTTAAAATAGTAAAATCACTTGAAGAAAATGCATGCATAAAATAGCTAAAATTAAAAAGGATGCTCTTTTAAAAGAGAAAGCACTTACTTGAAGGGAAAAATAACATCCCATACTATAGACTACACAATTTATTTATGTAAATTTTTTTCAGGAATCATTTACCTGGAAATACTAAAGCATAAGAAATCTTTCTAAGATCAATCATGAATTATTAATAAAACTGTAACAAAATAAAATTAAATAATATCATATGAACTATTTTTACCTTTGCATTATAGGGAATGTAATGTTTTGATAAAGTTTCAGGCGTATGCATCCATGTTTTGTCTGCAATGAAGAATACACAGTGTTAAATTAAATCACAGGTTCTTATGGTGTCATATTCATACATTAGCATTTGTAGGGAGTCTAAGATGGGTGAAAACATTCCTAATTCTTAAATTCTTTTGCTAAATTGAAAAGGAATAACCAGTCATATATAAGAACAATGTAGCTGGGGAGTGATTTTAGGACACTTTCGTTGGTATAAAAGACCCTAGCTTTTCTGTTAAAAAGTTTTCAAATAATGCAAATAATAACAAATTTTTAGGCAATATGTAAAAACAACAACTTCAGTGGGCTATTGGTAACTATATTAATTTCATAATTAAAAACAAATATCTTTTTACTTTCACTTTATGCTTTCATGAGTTACAGGATATTTTTCTTAATACCCAGAACAATAAAAATTAATCTGCTCTTCACTCATTGTGATTTTATGTTTTAGCACCAAGATTTAATTATTCTAAAGGGAAGTTTTAACATTAAACTAACAACTGCATTTGTATAAAGCTGAAATAGATCAATGTACTATATTCATTTAGAAATCAATATAATGTTAAAATAATCTTTATTCTAAATTTAGAGAAACATTGATTGAAGGTCTATTATTGGAATTTTGGATATAAATAATCCTAAATGTAGTAATTTGAAGTGTTTCTTAGATATGTGAAATAAAATACTAGAAATAAAAATAACCCAAAGGATAGAAGACACTGAAGCTAATTTATACGGTATATTATTTACACTTTATTTATATTTGTATTATTTATATTTTGCATTCAATTTTTGAACTTTGTTAATATATTCTACATCTGTTCCCAAATCCCTTGTGTAATGTATGAGGGAGAGAAAAAGTTTCAATATTTACACAAAGCAAATTGACTTTTTTTATGAAACTGCAATTGTTTGGAGTAAAACTTCTTAATCCTCACTGCATCGTATCCATTAGAGGAGTTTTGTGTGTTGTGTGTATTTTATTCCTCATGACAGTTTAAAAATTTAGAATCAATATTATAAACAGAATAGAATCAGAAATTTTACTATTAAAAATGTTAAATAAGTACACATTGAAAGAAATAGTGGATTGCTAACAAAGCATTTTCAACATTCAATCCAGAATATTTTTAAATGATGTTAACAAAAACTAATTAGATATCATTAATATGTTTTTCTTATCTGGGGAAACGGGAAGAAATAGAGTAATGGTATATATTCCTGAAATGTCAATTATTTTATACCATTTGAAGGATAAGTCACTATATTTATATAAAACATATTTATGGGGTACAATACAGTATTCACAAGAATTTCTAAGAAAAATAATGAAGGACCAGTAGCATTGGGGCTATTTCTGATCACTGCAATGAATAATGTGATGGCTGTACTTGAATGAAATATTTTGAAAGAAAATGTATTCTAAGCTTCAAAAAGCAATACTGACAGTGACATTTAACGTGTGAAATTTTTATTTCTTATATGGATTTTCATTTGATTATACTTTTTATGATTGCTAATGGATAGTGATATGATTAATTCAAGAATAATTTATATTTAGATTTGGGGTATAGTCTTGCCCTTGTATGTTAAAAGATGTAAACCGTAATACTGTACACCCAAACAATAAAAACACCAAACAACTGCCTTTAGGAAACCTAAAAAGAAATCCAATTTCTCTTTTTACCCCTTCACTCAATTCTTTTCATGTCTCCTTACCAAAACATACAACACTTCTCCGGAGGATGTAAATCTGGATAAAGTTTGAATATGATGGTCCATACCAATCCTGAGGCAGAGATATACTTGCTTTCTCATGTATGCCACTATGATTTGAATACTGACAATATTGCCTCTGTTATAGTCTCCTACTACAGTGACCTAGAAAGAGGGTAGACATACCCAGCTGTTTCCGGTGACAGACTAAAATAATCACAATATTAAATCACTAGTGGATAAGCTGCAGTTTCTACAATGACAAAAATCTCTATTCACATAATATCAGGTGTTGATGTTTTAGTGGTTATTCATTATATAACCTCTAATATAGGCAATATGCTTACAAAATCGGTGGGATTTACAAAATCTGTCCTTACTGATTGGGTCACCCTAATTAAATCACCCTAATTTACACTTTGGCAAAAGAAAAAAAATGACAGACTAAAACTGTTTATATTAACTCATGTAGATGTGACTGAGCCTTAAGGAGGGCATACAGATGATAGGCTTTGGTCACTATATATGCTCATAGAAGCAATTAGATATATCGAACTAGTGCAGAAATTAAAACACAGACATTCTAGAATGTGTTCCCCTTTCTTGAAATTAAACTAAAATCACTAAATCAATATTGAACACTCACATGAAAGGAAATGCCAACATTTCAAAATATTTGACAAATGTCAAACTACTCTGATGGCTGGGTCAATAAATTTAGGTTTTCAAATGCTTTTAGATTAGGAGCTCATCAAGAAAAATGCAGTATTCATTATTTTTGTATCATCGGAGCTTAACATAGTGAAAGCACCTACTTTGAATATATTAAATTGAACGCTAAATGCTGTTAGATGAATGAATGCATTTGAATAAAATCTTAATAAAAAGGAAAATAATATTTAAATATTGAATTTAAGTGCTATGCATTATTATGATTATTATATCTACTCACCAGTATGCCAACTAATAAGTTAAAGAAACTAAAGTGTAATTAGTTAAATTATTTAATCACATTCACTCACGTGCTGTATTTTATGCTTTTACTAAATACTTTATTTCTGATGTAATAAATAGAATATAGAATTTTAAAAATTAAAAAAGAAAGCAAAAAGAATCTAAAACAAATACAATCATTAAAATTTAATCTATAATTCTATTAGACTAACTTTTAAAGAGCTTTTCAAAAAAGCTCAAAATGATGCAATCAATACATTCAGTCCTTTTAAGAATTCTGAGCAACTCTAATAACATTAGAGCATTTGCAAAGCAAGACAGTGGAGAATACCAAATTACTTATTTGAAGACTTAATAAAAAGAAAAAAAAAAAACAATATTTAGGTTACAGATGATAATCTTTTTTCCTTAGGCTTCTGAGGCCCAGTATCATTTAGTAAGGTTGCATGTGATGACCAAGTAAACTGGATATCTATGAAATAAAGAGATAAGCTTTTACTGATAGAAGACCATGTTGCTTTGTTTAGAATACTGTGTACGGCATATGTTGATGCTAGTTACAAGAAATATGACTTGAATTATATATTCCCTAGGAATATAATTATAGCTTCAGATTGCCAGGATATATAAATTCTCTCATAAAATTCAAGTTTTTAATCTAAAATAAAATTCAATCAAACAGTATGATTGGTTGAAATCAAGAGCAGAGGCTGTCAGAATTTTTCATTTAACAACCTCACTAAATGAGTCATAATACAGCATGTCCTTACTTATAAGTGGGAGCTAAACAAATGTTCAGGAAAAAGAAAAAAGAAACAGATAAATTTAAAAGGAAGAAAGAAAGATACAATAATCATAATAATTTGTTGAACTTTCAAAGGAAAGAATAGAACTGAGGCCACCAGAGGTGGGAAGGGGGAAGGTGGATGGGGTTTAGCGAGGAATTGGTAAAGGGCCACAAAATAGGATTACATTGTGTAATGGTGAATATGCTAATTATCTTGATTTGAGCATCACATATTGCACACGGGTATTGATATTCGATGCTGTACCCCACAGATATGTACAATTAATTATGTTTCAACAAATAAAAAATAATAAAAAAAGAAATTCTAATATCAAGTTCTAACTTGGAGTTGGAGGAAAATATTGATTAATAATATCCTGGTAAAGATATTTAATCATTAGATTTGAAAAATAAGATAAGTTGACAGAAATCTAAAGAGAACAAAGCAAAGCAGGTAATAACAAGTGCTTCTGCTCCTTGATTCTCCAAATTACTGCAATTTTCCCCATTGTTGTACTCACTGTGTTCAAATGAGACAAATATACAATTGCTGATTACTTGCATAAGTATCCAACCCTTGGGATCTCTCAATGAAAAACCACTCTAAATCCTCTTCAAATAAAGAGTAAGTTAGAAATGTGGAGGTTCAACTTTAAAACCACGGGAAAGGGAATTGTAAGCATATAAAAATAAGGTCTAAAAGTGTTTTTAAAAATAGTATAATTAAAGTGATGAGTTGTGATGTAAGGTTTCTATTACTTTATTAAAAATACTTCAGTATATCATAGAATTATTCCAAGACTTTGTTTTTAGTGAAAGGAGTAAAAAGAAACAATATTTTATTTTTGGTATGTGTTTTTAATTAGAAGCAAGTCATAAATCACAATCAATGTCATTTTGCTTTCCCCTATTCAGAAAAATAAGTGAAATAATAATTCTCTAGCTTCCTAGGGTTGAAAAGTGCCTTAAAGGTCACATTTTCTAAATTCCTACCAAATAGATTAATATAGAAATATAGAAATAGCACATCCAAATGTTTGAATACCTCTCACTTCAGTGACAAAAAAATTAGCAATTTGAGTAATCCCATTATACCTTTACATGACTTTGCTGGAATTTCTTTCCTACATTAAATCAGTGACCTTATAATTTACACCTATTTGTCCTTTATTAAACTTAGCACCGTGGCTAAATGGTGGCCATTCAAACACTGAAAGATGGCTCTCATTACCACACCAAGATTCTCAACCGTGCTTCCTGCTGCATGGCTGGAAGCCTGAAGTCATCCTAGCCTCTCTCATCTTGGCATGTTATGATGTGTCAATTAATCCTTGAAGCCTTTTAAAGAGAGAACACATTGTGCCTGACCGTATGGAATAGATCAGAACAGTCTAGGCAGCAGTCTAGATTGTTCATTATCCATACATTAGAAAATGAACCAAAGCCTTTGATAATAACGATGTTAATTTTAGTCTTCAACCATTTTTTACCCACACAGCACTTCAAGTGCATCTTCTAAATAACGATATATGAATAATGGTAAATGTATTAGATTTTCTGGACCTTTATTTGACAATTTACAATATCTTATTAAGTAATAACGATGTTAATTTTAGTCTTCAACCATTTTTTACCCACACAGCACTTCAAGTGCATCTGCTAAATAACGATATATGAATAATGGTAAATGTATTAGATTTTCTGGACCTTTATTTGACAATTTACAATATCTTATTAAGTTATAGTGAGGAACATGACCTAACTGATCATTTTTCCATCATAGAGCTATAATCCTACTATATCACTCATCTCTTTCAACTATTTTCAGATTTGATTACCATCATTTACGTATTCTCTCCCAGTTCACTGATAGCATGTTAAACAGCAGAGAGCCCTATTCTCTCCACTAGAGAACTCATTCCAGAATGAAAAGAATACATTATTTTAACTTTACTGAACCAGACAAAACTATCAATTTTTTTCTTTCTTATGAGTGTATTAAGAAATATCTTGTCAATATCCTGCTACTTAAAAAAATGACATATAACTAGCTGCTTCTTTCATTCCTATATCGATAATCATGATATATTACATTTATATATATATATATAATAAAAAATATATATATATATATATTTTTTTTTGTCCTTTTTGAGATCGGCTGCACCGCGCTCAGCCAGTGAGCGCACCGGCCATCCCTATATAGGATCCGAACCCGCGGCGGGAGCGCTGCTGCGCTCCCAGTGCCGCACTCTCCCGAGTGCGCCACGGGCTCGGCCCTACATTTATATATTTTTTAAATTACTACTTTAATAACAAGTTTATTTTGACCTCATTGCCATCAATTCACCTATTACCAATCCTCACATACTAATCAATAATACATGAGGCACCCATGCACACACACACAGAGACACATACACACACACTAATGAATTTATATCTCTGTAATCTTATGTGAGCCCAGGGAATTTAGTATTACATGGCTACATAAGGTAAAGTCAGGACTAGATTTCAGATCATCTTATTCTTTGCAATTTAACAACACAGAATAAAATTGCCAGAGAACATATTATCACATACGTATTGTGAACTAAGTTTATTAAACAATGCTGCTTTTTCATTTGGGTGATAACCAAGGAAGGTTAATTAGCAATGATTTGCAGACTAGTGTTGCTCTAATGTAACTTCGTTCCTGAGCCATGTGGTCTGATATCGGGAAAAACTGATTTCTTAACATCTCTGCTTTATTTTTATAGTAATATTGATTTGACTCCTAAGTACTTTAAAATGAGCACACTTACCTTTCTTTCTGCTAAAAGCACGGTTCATGATGAGGATCAGCCAAATAAATGTTCACTCCAATCACACTTTATATCCTATAAAAATGACAAAATATTAAAACACAAATTAAGGACTGTTGACCAACCTCATTTGTGCTAATGCATTTTTAATTACAAAGACTTTTCTATTTTTTTAATGTATACAAACAATATTCTAAAATGTTCCAAAGGACACTGGGTAAGAATAAACATAAGTACTCAGTATTATATAAGTGACACAAACAGATAAGAACAACATCTAAACTGAAATTCCTCAAAGTTCCTTAATTTTATCTTTTTACTATTATACATCATCATTAATTATTTTTTTATGAAAATTTAAGGAGAGAAAAGATCAATACTTTTTTCCCTGAGCTTATTGGTAAGAGGTGTTGTCAAGTTTGGGGTTGTGATAAACAGAAATCTTTTGATTATGCGTTTGAGGATAAAATCACTTTTCTAAATCCACTCATACATAAACACTTATTTTTTATTAAAATGAGGCCCAAAGAGGTTTCATGAGCACTGCAAAGTCACAAAGACACATGATATACTAGTAGTAGTGGTCAGGAACATAGAATAACATCACCTACACTTAAGGTTGTTTTACAGGTTAGGTGAGGTAGGAAAGCACGTGGCACAGTACCTACAGCATACTGTGTTCAGGAAATATTAACCAGAGTCATTGTGTTAAATATAGCATGAGATCCAAATCTAATGCTCTCTTCCTTATAACCATTATTTATCCATCAAAGAGGTTCTCTTAATACCCGTTCTGTGCTTTATTCCATTGTGAGGGCTACACATCAAAACCAGCAGCTTGGCTAAAACACTTTATGTTTTGTAAAGTGGTTGTCAGATTGAGACATTTCAATTGTATTTATCTAATGTCTTTATGTAAAAATCAAAATATTTCTAGAGTATTCCCTCAGAGATTCAGAGATGATTCACATTAAGGTTTCATGTTATGATGAATATTTCCTGGTACTGCATTATAATCTATATTTGAGGTCTATGAAAGAATTAATCTTACTGATAAAACTGGCAGAAGTAACTTCTTTGCTGCTCTGGAGACTAAACATTCTTCAATCTGCCTTAAGGTAGCCTTTCATTTCTAATTTATCTTCTTCAAAGAGTAGTGCAACAAGCATATTTCATAGTAATTAAGACTTTTTAGAATAAAATATTATTGTATTCTCTCAATAACTTGCATTTTCTCACTTTTCAGGATAAATTCAATCATAGTAAATAAAACTGTTTAATAATGTGATCTCATGATAACCCAGAGACCTACTTCAGCAGAAATCAAAGGAAACTCATGTGCTTGGTTTAAGAGCCTGATTTCTGTGAGCTTCCATCTGCAGATGACAAGAGAGTAACTGAATGCTGAGTAAAATCTTCCCCACACCCTGCCCTATATTGCCCAAAGGTATCAGTTGATAGAAGGTAAGAGAGAGACAAAGAGCTCTACTTGATTCTGGAAATACCTTCCCCCATTCCACTCCAAGACTCACCACAACTTCCTGCTGAGAGACCATCATGATAATTTTATCAAATCCTTTATTCCTGAGTATGTCAGTCAACATATGAAGCCAGGGTCCCCAGGTCACTCTCATTACTCAGACTGTAATCCTAACACATTACATTCTGTAACCACATCTCTCACCTTTTTCATCTTCTAGAAACATTTCACTGTATCATCTGGCATTCCCAGTAAATCGTTATCAAAAAAGTACCTAACATTTTTTCAGAAAGTTCCTTCCACTTTGTTGCTGTTAACGAAACCTAGTTGTTTCCTGTGAAAACTAGTTCCCCTGCAGTTCTTTCAAGAGATGGACTATATCAAGAGATGGGCTGTATGCCACTATACCAAGAAATGATGTGTCTTCACATTATTGCATATATATATATATATAGCATATATATTATACATGTGTGTATATCTATATATCATATAAAGTTAACTTGGCCAAATAAGGAGGGTATAAAATGATATGACAACATTATTACTCTAAAATAACCAGCAGGATTTTGCTTGTCCAGAGAATGTATAGATATAAATGTCAATAAATTCCAGATAATATATATAACATCAACAAACCATAGTTTCACTTGCCAAACACCATTCAGCATATTTATTTGATCCAATGGCACTCCACACTTCTTTGTAAAACACATTGTACTACACCCACTAGAAAATACACAGATACTAGTTGCTTTGACAGTGCCCTGATGTGAATACACTGAATGACACTAGGTTGTCATTCAATATACTGTGTATTTATTTAATGTATTAGTAGTACATGTTTTAATGTACTTTTATAGTTTAGATTATAAAATATATATAGTTATAAACTTAATGTTAGTAAGTTAAAAAATATAAGCTCTATATAAACTGATTTTAGTTCAATTCACAGTGTAACATAAATCTTTCCTTTTGAATAAACTTTTCATAAACATGGTTTCAGTGGCTATATACACATGAATGCATTTCCCTGTTATTAAATAATTGTTATTTGCAAATTTTAGTTAAATCTTTCCTTTTGAATAAACTTTTCATAAACATGGTTTCAGTGGCTATATACACATGAACGCATTTCCCTGTTATTAAATAATTGTTATTTGCAAATTTTAGATAAATATATAAAGATGGTTATTTACATAAATTTTTATCTTTTATTAATTTTTCCATAAAATAGCATCCTAGACTAAAATTTACTAGTTGTAAATTACTACCATTTTAGGTTTTTAGTTTTTCTTTAATTAAACATAAAGGGGTTGTAGCAATTTACATGATTATCAGTTATGTGTGACAATGATCATTTCACTTCACACTTACAAAGATTAAATATTGAATGATGTGTGTGTGTGTGCATGCACTATATTTTTATAGTTTTTAAATATAAAACTCTGTGGGATTAATACTGCTATATAATATGATAGGAGAACTTACACTGGTTTCCTCGATGGACTTTTTTTTAAAGAAAGAGCCACTATTATCCAATGAATAATACAAACCTTCTCAGAAATGCACGTTGCCACATTTCCCTAGATTGAGTACAGCTTTATAGACCTATTTAGAAACTTTGCTTCTGGCAAAGATGGAGTAACAGAGGCTATATATGTCTTACCACTGAAAACACCTAAAAGGAAGACAAAATGTATGAAGTAATGACTGTAGGACACTGGATATCAGGCAACAAAGGACAGTGATCTATGAGAGACGAGAGACAAACGAGGTGAGCTGTATGATTTTCCTGGCTTACTGCCTGGAGAAAGTTTCCAGACTATGGTGCAGGGAGGTAGAACTCAGTCAGAGCTCAACAATTTCCTCGAGTTGAGAAGATACCACTGAGAATGCAGTAAAACCAGGATGTCTAACGTCGCAGTTCAGAGCACTGGAAAGGAGAAGGCTACTCAGAAAGAACTAAAGATACTTGATCCTTCTTACAGTTCATTTGAGTACTGATCAACTACCCAAGAATGAAGAAAGAAACACCCACAAAGCATAGGGAGAACAGTGCCTGTAGCTCACACAAGAGTCAACAGCAAGGGAGAAAAATTTCATAATTCACAGGACATAAATTAGATTACTAAGAAGTGTCTCACCTTATTAGTGGGGAAAAAGTTAAAGCTAAAATGAGGGCTGCTTTGGCACAACCTAACAAATCTTAAAAACAAAACACAAAAGAATGGGATTGTTTCCAAGTAACCACTATACCTCGAAACTATGCTCAAGAATATCTTAAAGGATATAAAAATATTCAACACCTAACATGGTAAAATTCACAATGTATTGCATTTAATTAAAACAAAATTAGGTATGCAAAGTAGAAAAATACAGGTCCATAATGAGGGGAAAATTAATCAAAATTGACCTAGAAATGACAAAGATGGTAGAAGTGGTAGGCAAGGACATTCAGACACTTTCCATATATCCAAGAAGCTATAGGATGGATTAAGCAGTTGTTAGAGATATAGAAGATATTTAAATAAATTTTAAAAAACCCTAAATCAAACTTCTAGAAATGAAAACCACTACGTATGAGATAAAAAGACACATTAGATGGAATTAATGGCAGATAAGACATTGCAGTAGAAAAGAATAGTGAAATTGAAGCCAGTGACATAAAATCAACAACAGAGAGAAAATAGACTAATGGAAAGGAAATAACAATGAAGGAAGGAAGTATAAGAAACAAGAAGAAAACTACGCCATGACATATCATAATAAAATTGCTTGAATATAGTAACAGAGAAAAATTTTAAAAGCAGCCCGAAAAAAAAAAAAGACACATTATGTACAGAAAAACAAAGATCAGGATGGCACAAGTTTGCGTATCTAAAACAATGCAAACTGGAAGAAAAAAGAGCAACATCTTCAAAATACTGAAAGTGTCAAAGCTTAATCAATAAGAAACAGACGATCTGATCTTATACAGCAAAGAGTAAGTGATTATTTAAAGCCCATTTTAAGTTGCTTTATAAGACACCAGAATATATTTTTTGCTTTTCTCTCTCTCAAGGATCCAGAGGCAAGATCCTACATTAAATATTTATAGCATGTTAAAAATGCCATTAATCACCCTTATAAATTAATTTGATATCCACAGTAACTCTGGCTATGTTCAAAACCATAAATGGAATATTTAAATGTGGTCAAGAAAAAAAAATTGTAATTCTTAATTTATTAATAACTTATTGACACATTACCACTCCAAGTTTAAAACAATTGGAGTTTTAAATTTCTAAATAAAATTTTGAAAATACATTATAAATATTAAAGGTATATGTCATTAGATGAATTATTTTAATCCTGAATTTTACTTAAAAATCGGTAACCACATTGACAAAACACTTTGAGGCCATTTAGTAATAATTTTCTTTATAAATTTAACCTCTTATAGGCCTAATATTTTAAAGTTTGGAGTCAACAAACATTTCTTTAAATAAATTCAGCACATCCAGGTCTGAAAACTGATTTATCAAAGAAATCCATTGATATTTATAAACTAGTTCAGAAGTTTAGAGTAGCTTGCCTTTTTTTTTTAAATCAAAA